AATGAGATCTTACAGGCAAGCTCTTGCACCTCAGAGTAGAATCAGAGTAGACAGTTCCTCCTCCCTCTTCCTCCTCCTCCTCCACCTCTTTCTTCACCTGACCTTCTTCCCCTCCTCCTCCTCCTTCCTCTTCTCCTTCTCTTTCTTCTCCAGACCTTCTTCTCCTCCTCCCCTCCTTCTCCTCCTTCCTCTCCTCCTTCTTCCCCTCCTTCTCCTTCTTCCCCTCCTCCTTCCACTCCTTCTCCTCGTCTCCTGGACTTCATCCCCAACCACTTCCTCCTCCCGCCTCCTCCTCCTCCTCCTGACCTTCTTCCTCTTCTCCTCTTCTCTCCTCCTTCCTCTTCTCCTTCTCTTTCTTCTCCAGACCTTCTCCTCCTCCTCCCCTCCTTCCTCTCCTCCTTCTTCCCCTCCTTCTCCTCTTCTCCTGGACTTCATCCACAACCACTTCCTCCTCCCTCCTCCTCCTCCTTCTCCTGACCTTCTTCCTCTTCTCTCCTCCCTCTTCTCCTCCTTTCCCTCCTTCTCCTTTTTCCTCCCCTCCCCTCCTTCTTCTCTTCTCCTGGACTTCATCCACAACCACTTCCTCCTCCCTCCTCCTCCTCCTGACCTTCTTCCTCTTCTCCTCTTCTCCCCTCCTTCTCCTCCTTCCTCTTCTCCTTCTCTTTCTTCTCCAGACCTCCTCCTCCTCCTCCTCCTTCCTCTCCTCCTTCTCCCCCTCCTTCTCCTTCTTCCCCTCCTTCTCCTCTTCTCCTGGACTTCATCCACAACCACTTCCTCCTCCACCTCCTCCTCCTTCTCCTGACCTTCTTCCTCTTCTCCTCTTCTCTCCTTCCTCTTCTCCTTCTCTTTCTTCTCCAGACCTTCTTCCCCTCCTCCCCTCCTTCTCCTCCTTCCTCTCCTCCTTCTTCCCCTCCTTCTCCTTCTTCCCCTCCTCCTTCCACTCCTTCTCCTCGTCTCCTGGACTTCATCCCCAACCACTTCCTCCTCCTCCCTCCTCCTCCTTCTCCTGACCTTCTTCCTCTTCTCTCCTCCTTCTCCTCCTTCCTCTTCTCCTTCTCTTTCTTCTCCAGACCTTCTCCTCCTCCTCCCCTCCTTCCTCTCCTCCTTCTTCCCCTCCTTCTCCTCTTCTCCTGGACTTCATCCACAACCACTTCCTCCTCCCTCCTCCTCCTCCTTCTCCTGACCTTCTTCCTCTTCTCTCCTCCCTCTTCTCCTCCTTTCCCTCCTTCTCCTTTTTCCTCCCCTCCCCTCCTTCTTCTCTTCTCCTGGACTTCATCCACAACCACTTCCTCCTCCCTCCTCCTCCTCCTGACCTTCTTCCTCTTCTCCTCTTCTCCCCTCCTTCTCCTCCTTCCTCTTCTCCTTCTCTTTCTTCTCCAGACCTCCTCCTCCTCCTCCTTCCTCTCCTCCTTCTCCCCCTCCTTCTCCTTCTTCCCCTCCTTCTCCTCTTCTCCTGGACTTCATCCCCAACCACTTCCTCCTCCCTCCTCCTCCTCCTCCTCCTGACCTTCTTCCTCTTCTCCTCTTCTCTCCTTCCTCTTCTCCTTCTCTTTCTTCTCCAGACCTTCTTCCCCTCCTCCCCTCCTTCTTCCCCTCCTTCTCCTTCTTCCCCTCCTCCTTCCACTCCTTCTCCTCGTCTCCTGGACTTCATCCCCAACCACTTCCTCCTCCTCCCTCCTCCTCCTTCTCCTGACCTTCTTCCTCTTCTCTCCTCCTTCTCCTCCTTCCTCTTCTCCTTCTCTTTCTTCTCCAGACCTTCTCCTCCTCCTCCCCTCCTTCCTCTCCTCCTTCTTCCCCTCCTTCTCCTCTTCTCCTGGACTTCATCCCCAACCACTTCCTCCTCCCTCCTCCTCCTCCTTCTCCTGACCTTCTTCCTCTTCTCCTCTTCTCTCCTTCCTCTTCTCCTTCTCTTTCTTCTCCAGACCTTCTTCCCCTCCTCCCCTCCTTCCTCTCCTCCTTCTTCCCCTCCTTCTCCTTCTTCCTCTCCTCCCCTCCTTCTCCTCTTCTCCTGGACTTCATCCCCAACCACTTCCTCCTCCCTCCTCCTCCTCCTTTTCCTGACCTTCTTCCTCTTCTCTCCTCCTTCTCCTCCTTCCTCTTCTCCTTCTCTTTCTTCTCCAGACCTCCTCCTCCTCCTCCCCTCCATCCTCTCCTCCTTCTTCCCCTCCTTCTCCTCTTCTCCTGGACTTCATCCACAACCACTTCCTCCTCCCTCCTCCACCACCTTCCTCATCTGTTCCTCTCTTCTCCTTGTTCTTCTCCTTTCTGTTGTTCTTCTCTTCCTTTCCTTCTTCACCTCCCTCTCCTCCTCCTCTTCTTTCTTCTCCGTCTTCTGCTCCTTCTCCTTCTTCTCCTTGACTGTCTTTCTCTTATTTTTCTCCTGTAACTCTGTTTAATTTCTCTTTCTTACCTCCTCTTCTTCTGTTCAACCACCTCAAAGCTCCCTGCTTGAGCAGTGATGGCACGATCATCAGCATAGATGAAACTCTGTCCCTTCTGGCAGTGGCTGGTCATTTGTGTAGATGTTGAACATGGATGGAGCAAGCACGCTCCCTGAGGCAGGCCGTTCTTCTGTTTCCGCCACCTGCTTCTCTGGCCCTGGAACTCAACAAAAAAGCTCCTGTTTCGTAGCAGGTTTCCTATGAGTCGGGTGAGGTGGTTGTCTTAGGATGTTGATAACCTCGGAACAAACATCGTGTTACATAATGTAATTACTAATCACGGGGGTACAAACAAAAACACAAAACCTTTGCTCAGGACCTTGTGAGCTTGTCCTCAGTAAGGATTCCAGGAGATGAGGGTTCGAATCCCTGCTTGGCTATGGAAACCCATTGAGTGGCTTTGAACAGCCTACGCTTTCTCAGTTCCAGAGGAAGAGAATGGCAAAACCGGCGCCAAACCTAACAAACATTAGGATGCGGAACAATGGCTTCAAACTACAGGAAAGAAAGGAGATTCTGCCGGAACATGAGGAAGAACTTCCTGACGGTGAGAGAGAGAGAGATGTTCAGCAGTGGAGAAGAGGAAGAAGCTCAGGAGAAGTAGGAAAAGGAGGAGAGGAAGAAGGAGAAGAGGAAGAAGGTCTGGAGAAGAAGGAGAAGGAGGAAGGAGAGGAGAAGAGAAAGAAGCTCAGGAGAAGTAGGAGGAGTAGTGAGGAGGAAGTGGTGGCGGAGAAAGGATAGGAGAAGAGGAGGAGGAGGAGAAGTAGAGGGAGAAGGAGAAGAAGGAGGGAAGGAGGAGGAGAAGAGGAAGAAGGTCTGGAGAAAAAGGAGAAGAGGAAGAAGGTCAGGAGAAAAAGGAGGCGGAGGGAGGAAGTGATAGCGGAGAAAGGACAGGGGAAGAGGAGGAGGAGGAGGAGGAGGGGAGGAGGAGAAGAGGAAAAAGGTCTGGAGAAGGAGGAGAAGGAGAAGAGGAAGAAGGTCTGGAGAAGAAGGAGAAGGAGGAAGGAGAGGAGAAGAGGAAGAAGCTCAGGAGGAGGAGGAGGGAGGAGGAAGTGGTGGTGGAGAAAGGACAGGAGAAGAGGAGGAGGAGGAGAGGAATGAGGAGGAGGAGGGGAGGAGAAGAAGAGGAAGAAGGTCTGGAGAAGAAAGAGAAGGAGAAGAGGAAGGAGGAGGGGAAGGGGGAGGAAGGAGTAGAAGGAGAAGAGGAAGGAGGAGAAGAGGAAGAAGGTCTGGAGAAGAAGAAAGAGAAGGAGAGGAAAAGAGGAAGAAGCTCAGGGGAAGGAGGAGGGAGGAAGTGGTGGAGGAGAAAGGACAGGAGAAGGAGAGGAGGAGAGGAATGAGGAGCATGAGGGGAGGAGGAGAAGGAGAGGAAGAAGGTCTGGAGAAGGAGGAGGAGAAGAGGAAGGAGGAGGAGAGGAAGAAGGACTGGAGAAGAAGGAGAAGAAGAGGAGAAGAGGAAGAAGCTCAGGGGAAGGAGGAGGGAGAGACGAAGTGGTGGAGGAAAGAACAGGAGAAGAGTAGGAGGAGAGGAATGAGGAGGATGAGGGGAGGAGGAGAAGGAGAGGAAAAAGGTCTGGAGAAGGAGGAGAAGGAGGAGAGGAAGGAGGAGGAGAGGAAGAAGGTCTGGAGAAGGAGGAGAAGAAGAGGAGAAGAGGAAGAAGCTCGGAAGGAGGAGGGAGGGAGGAAGTGGTGGAGGAGAAAGGATAGGAGAAGAGGAGGAGAAGGAGGAGAGGAAGGAGGAGAAGAGGAAGAAGCTCAGGAGAAGGAGGAGGAGGAGGGAGGAGGAAGTGGTGGTGGAGAAAGGACAGGAGAATAGGAGGAGAGGATGGAGGAGGAGAGGAGGGAGAAGAAGAGGAAGGTCTGGAGAAGAGGAGAAGGAGAGAGAGAGAAGAGGCAGGGAAGGAGGGAGGAAGTGGTGGAGGGAAAAGGACAGGAGAAGAGAAGGAGGAGAAGGAGGAGAGGAAGGAAGAGAAGGAGGGGAGGAGGAGAAGAAGAGGAAGAAGGTCTGGAGAAGGAGGAGAAGGAGAAGGGGAAGGAGGAGAAGAGGAAGAAGGTCTGGAGAAGAAGAAGGAGGAAGAAGAGGAGAAGAGGAGAGAAGCTCAGGGGAAGGAGGGAGGAAGTGGTGGAGGGAAAAGGACAGGAGAAGAGGAGGAGGAGATGGAGGAGTGGTGGAGAAAGGACTGGAGAAGAGGAGAAGGAGGAGAGGAAGGAGGAGAAGAAGAGGAAGGTCTGGAGAAGGAGGAGAAGGAGAAGAGGAAGAAGCTCAGGAGAAGGAGGGAGGAAGTGGTGGAGGGAAAAGGACAGGCGAAGAGGAGGAGGAGACGGAGGAGGGGAGAAAGGGGAGGAGAAGAAGAGGCAGAAGGAGAAGAGCGAGGAGGAGTGGCAGGAGGCGACGGGGAGGAGGAGGAGGAGGAGGACCCTTGCCTGCCTTCCTGCTTGGCTGCTTGGCTGCCTGTTTGGCTGCCCCTTCCTTCCCCTTCCTCTTCCTCCTCCTCCTCCTCCCTTTTCCGAGAGGAAAGCGACCCCCCGATGGGGCGGTGGGGCCGGGGTGGTCCTCCTGCTCCTGCTCCTCTTCTTCCTCGTGGTGGGCGATGGTGCCGGGGGGCAACGGGAGCTGCGCGGAGGGTCGCCTCCCCCGCGAGGCGCGCCACTCCCTGGCCGCCGTCCTGCTCCTCACCACCGTGGGCGACCTGCTGGGCAACGCGCTGGTCATCCTCTCCGTCCTCCGCAACCCCAAGCTGCGCAACGCCGGTGAGTGAGTGGCCCTCCCTCCGCCACCTCTGGCTGTTCAGCAGGGGAACGCTCTGCCTCCCAGTTTGGCGGGCGCTCTGAAACAGAGCCTGGGTTGGCCATCTCTTGGGGGAGCTTTGCTTGTGCTTTCCGTGCATGGCAGAAGGGAATTGGACTAGTTAGTGGTCCCTTCCAACTCTACCACTCTCTATCTCCTTTCTTGGAAGCTTGGAGAGTGGATGGCCATCTGTCAGGAGTGCTTTGACTGTGCAGAAAGGGGTTGGATTAGTCCAGCCATGGGCAAACTTTGGCCCTTCCTCCAGCTGTTTTGGACTTCAACTCTCACCAAACCCTTCCAGTCTTTTCTGGTCAAGGTCAATGCTCACCAAACCACAATCAAAGGGTTTGCTGAGCATTGACCTTGAATTTGGGAGTTGTAGTTCACCTACATCCAGAGAGCACTGTGGACTCAAACAATGATGGATCTGGACCAAACTTGGCACTCATACTCACTATGCCCAAATAGTGAGTATGAGTGAACACTGGTGGAGTTTGGAGAAAATAGACCTTGATATTCAGGAGTTGTGGTTGCTGGGATTTATAGTTCATGTAGAATCAAAGAGAATTCCGATCTCTACCAACGATGGAATTGAACCAAACTTGGCACACAGAACTCCCATGACGAACAGAAAATACTGGAAGGGTTTGGTTAGCATTGAACTTGAATTTGGGAGTTGTAGTTCACCTACATCCAGAGAGCACTGTGGACTCAAACACTGATGGATCTGGACCAAACTTGGCATGCATACTCAGTATGCCCAAATGTAATCACTGGTGGAGTTTGGGGAAAATAGACCTTGATATTCAGGAGTTGTAGTTGCTGGGATTTATAGTTCACGTACAATCAAAGAGAATTCTGAACTCTACCAACGATGGAATTGAACCAAACTTGGCACACAAAACTCCCATGTCCAGCAGAAAATACTTGTAGGGTTTGGTGGACATTGATCTTGAATTTGGGAGTTGTAGTTCACCTACATCCAAATAGCATGGATCTGGACCAAACTTGGAATGAATACTCAATATGCCCAAATGTGATCACTGGTGGAGTCTGGGGAAAATAGACCTTGATATTCAGGAGTTGTAGTTGCTGGGATTTATAGTTCACGTACAATCAAGGAGAATTCTGAACTCTACCAATGATGGAATTGAACCAAACTTGACACACAGAACTCCCATGTCCAGCAGAAAATACTGGAAGGGTTTGGTGAGCATTGACCTTGAATTTGGGAGTGGTAGTTCACCTACATCCAGAGAGCACTGTGGACTCAAACAATGATGGATCTGGACCAAACTTGGCACGCATACTCACTATGCCCAAATGTGAACTCTGGTGGAGTTTGGGGAAAATAGACCTTGATATTCAGGAGTTGTAGTTGCTGGGATTTATAGTTCACCTACAATCAAAGAGAATTCTGAACTCTACCAATGATGGAATTGAACCAAACTTGGCACACAAAACTCCCATGTCCAGCAGAAAATACTGGTAGGGTTTGGTGGACATTGATCTTGAATTTGGGAGTTGTAGTTCACCTACATCCAGAGAGCACTGTGGACTCAAACAATGACGAACCTGGACCAAACTTGGAATGAATACTCAATATACCCAAATGTAAAAACTGGTGGCGTTTGAGGGGAAATAGACCTTGACATCTGGGAGTTGTAGTTGCTGGGATTTCTAGTTCACCTACAATCAAAGAGCACCCTGGACCCCACCAACGATGGAATTGAACCAAACTTGGCACACAGAACTCCCATGTCCAGCAGAAAATACTGGAAGGGTTTAGTGAGCATTGATCTTGAATTTGGGAGTTGTAGTTCACCTACATCCAGAGAGCACTGTGGACTCAAACAATGATGGATCTGGACCAAACTTGGCATGAATACTCAATATGCCCAAGTGTAAACACTGGTGTAATTTGGGGGAAAATGGACTGTGACATTTGGGAGTTCTTCTTCATCTAGAGAAGCCTATGCTCCCAACTTCTTTCTCTGTGTTAGCCCATCAGTGGGGTAAGGAAGCTTTCAGACCCACAAAGAGAAGCCGGGAAGATGTTCTGCTGGAACGCGCTCTGCTTTTTGTTTGATCCAAGAGCAGAAAGTGTGCGCACAGTCGGAAGGGATTTGCCAAGGAGAGGTATGATAAACATCTCATCCGGGCAGCGGATGATACTATGGCAGCCAACAACAACAACAACAACATCTCATTGACTCCAAGATTTTGGGTGGAATCCGACTCACGTTTGGTCCAAAAGCCCAATCGGCACATTACTGTGTTAAGAATGATTTTATTTGAATTTTATATTTTTATGTTTTATGTAATTTATCATGTTATTGTTTGTGTTTTTGGCGTCTTTTACTGTATTGTGTTGTAGGGCTTGGCCTCATGTAAGCCGCCCCAAGTCCCCATTGGGGAGATTGTGGCGGGGTATAAATAATAATAATAATAATAATAATAATTATTATTATTATTATTATTATTTGAAACCCAACAAGCTGAGTCCACAGCAGACACTTTGCTGCCTGTTGTATTGGATTGCACGTCGGACACTTCCAAGTGTCTAGGACTATGGGATTTATTATTATTATTGTTGTTGTTATTATTAATATTTGAAACACAACAAGATGAATCCACAGCAAACAAGGTCACTCTGCTGGCTGTTGTATTGGATCCCAAGTGTCTAGGACTGTGTGATGTATTATTATTATTATTATTATTATTATTATTATTATTATTATTAGAAACACAACAAGATGAGTCCACAGCAGACACTCTGCTGGATGTTGTATTGGATCCCACATCGGGCACTTCCCGTGTCTAGGACTGTGTGATGTATTATTATTATTATTATTATTATTATTATTATTATTATTATTAGAAACACAACAAGATGAGTCCACAGCAGACACTCTGCTGGCTGTTGTATTGGATCACACATCGGACACTTCCCAAGTGTCTAGGGCTATGTGATGTATTATTATTATTATTATTATTATTATTATTATTATTATTAGATAAACAACAAGACGAGTCCACAGCAGACACTCTGCTGGATGTTGTATTGGATCACACGTCAGACGCTTCCCAAGTGTCTAGGACTGTGTGATGTATAATAATAATAATAATAATAATAATAATAATTATTATTATTATTATTATTATAAGAAACACAACAAGATGAGTTGACAGTAGACAAGTTCACTCTGCTGGCTGTTGTATTGGATCACACATCGGACACTTCCCAAGTCTCTAGGACTATGGGATTTATTATTATTATTATTGTTATTATTATTATTATTATTATTATTATTATTATTATTAGTTGAAACACAACAAGATGAGTCCACAGCAGACACTCCCCTGGCTGTTGTATTGGATCACATGGCGGTCACTTCCCAAGTGTCTAGGACTGTGTGATGTATTATTATTATTGTTGTTGTTGTTATTATTATTATTATTATTATTATACAAAACACCACAAGATGAGTCCACAGCAGACACTCTGCTGGCTGTTGTATTGGATCACACGGCGGTCACTTCCCAAGTGTCTAGGACTGTGTGATGTATTATTATTATTATTATTGTTGTTGTTATTATTACAAATAAAGATTTATTATTATTATTATTATTATTATTTGAAACACAACAAGATGAGTCCACAGCAGACAAGATCACTCTGCTGGCTGTTGTTTGGATCACACGTCAGACACTTCCCAAGTGCCTAGGACTGTGTGATGTATTATTATTATTATTATTATTATTATTATTATTATTAGAAACACAACAAGATGAGTCCACAGCAGACACTCTGCTGGCTGTTGTACTGGATCACACTTCGGACACTTCCCAAGTGCCTAGGACTGTGTGATGTATTATTATTATTATTATTATTATTATTATTATTATTATTATTATTACAGCGAATAATGCGTGCAGATCCCAGTAAGGTGGCCTTTTGCAGCTGGCAGATGGTAATCTTGTCAGCACCGATTGTGTTTAAGTGCAGGCCAAGGTCTTGAGGCACTGCACCCAGTGTGCCCATCACCACTGGGACCCCCTTGACTGGCTTGTGCCAGAGTCTTTGCAGTTCTATCTTTAAATCCCTATATCGTGTCAGCTTTTCCGGTTGTTTCTCTTCAATCCTGCTGTCGTCTGGTATTGCGACATCGACGACCCATACTTGGTTTTCTAACACGGTCAGGAGTATTGTGCTCCAAAACTCTGTCTGAATTCATAAATCCCAGAGGAGTTTGACGTATTCATTTTCTGTAACTTTTTCAGACTTATGATCCCACCAGTTCTTTGTTGCAGGTAAATGGTCTTTGTGGCACAAGTTCCAATGGGTCATCTGAGCAACGTTGTTGTGCCTCCGCTTGTAGTCTGTCTGTGTGATCTTCTTGCAGCAGCTAAGGATGTGATCTATTGTTATTATTAATAATATTTATATTAACTAGCCGTCCCCTGCCAGGCATTGCTGTGGCCCAGTCTGGTGATCTGGAACATAAAGTCGTGATAGTGTTGGTTTCTAATATATGTAATTTCTGTCTGCTTATGGGTAAACAGTATTTCTTGCTTTTTTTTTTGCCAGTGTTGATGTGGAGATTGTCTGGTTTGCTTACTGTGGAACATGTAGCTTTTCCTTTTCCGTTCTATCATCAAGCTTTCTATCAGATAGACGTGAGAAAGAGACTTGGCTCTAAAGCCCTTAATTAAGTTACGTCTCATCACCAATTCTAAGGTTATTACCCTTGGGACTCATATTTCATGCCCAGATCGCCCTGGACAACGTTGAGGAGACCCAAGCGCCTTCAAACCGGTCCTTTGGCATCAAAAGGAAGACTCTGTGCCTTCAACATAGGCCATTAGACTGGGGGTTGTGTTTGTTCCGACCTTCACAGCCCTTGAGAAATGAGGGAACAGGAAAAGCTTCTCAGCTGCGAAATCTCCTTGGACCCAAGAC